AGTGTTTACCCTGCTACTATCAGAGTTTGTTCCAACTCTGGAATTCTTTGTTGTTCTGAAAAAAAAAAAAGGAAGCTGTGGCTGCTGTTGGTCTGTTGGCACCCTTGAACTGTTCTGCAGCACTATATGAGAATTTATTCCTGTAAATGATTGAACCTGGAGGCCCATCTGGCACTTAAATATTGCACAGTATTCTGGTCATAACAACCAGGTCCAAAACATTGTGCAAAGTCAAGATGACTGCCTGCATTTCTAATGTTCCAGCACTGTGAATGTTAATAAGTAAGTTTATCAGAGGCTTTCTTGGATATTATTAAGCAACATTCGGTTTCCTCAAAATTTCAAGCTCCATTAAAGCATCAGACTGGACAGCAGAAATACCTATCTTTTTGCTGCCATCTAGTAATCATCTGAAATTTTTCAGTCCAGGTCTGGTAGTCCAAAACTCTATGAGATATATGGGCTAGATTTGCATGACAGGCATAAACAAGTCAAACGATCTAGGGGCCAAATTTATATTTGTACAACATGCAGAGTTTAATTAGGTTTTACTTTGGTTGGTTTGTTGTGATTCAATATATGAAAGAAAGGGGGTTGGTTGGTTTTATATCTCATACTGCATTCAGTAGCCAGTTGAAACATATTGTGCAAAATCACCCGAGGGCAAAACTCCATGATTTAACAACAATAAGCTGCATGCACAGAAACTGCATACCAAGCACTCAGCAAATGTGTGGAAAAGCCTGAAAAATATTACTGGCTACGGCAGATCACCCACCCTCGCTGAAGAAAATTGGCAAGGGAATTTAGGGGAAAATAGTGTATTGCACTTGCATAAGTAAAGTGTCTTGCAAGAAGCCAATGGCAAACTACTGTATTGTTTTGTTTTATTTATATCCCAACTTTCCTCTGGTTGCTCAGGACAGTCTGACAGCAACTCCTCTAACCTTCCCTTGTTAGAATAATTGGGCTGAAATCTCTTTAATGTTGTTAAGGAAACTATAGCATCCATGCAACAAGCAGAGTTAGGATCAATTTATATGACTAGGTGTCACTGAAATCACTTATCACATGGGCAAGTTCACACAACATATTAGGCTAAAACTTTTATTATGTTATTTATGGTTCAATATATTATGGGAACAAAACTTATCAGCGACATTAATGGGAATGTTGTTGGGTATTGGTTTTATTTTATTTTATTTTAATAAAAACTAATTATCCTATTCCAGTTAGGCATTGCTTTTATGCGATAAACAGGCTTTAAGTGCAAGTCAGTTTAAGATTGATGCCTGGCCAATTATGAATAATCTTAAAGCAAAACAAAATCTGATGTGTTTGGAAATGAAGGTATGTTGAACATATACAGATTTTTAGAGACTAAAAATCAACTGACTAAAGAAGTGCTAGACAGGGTCCAAGGGATATAAATCTTGAACAAAGGAAATTGAGGGTTAGGAACTACTCAGAACTAAATTCTGAAAATAGAACTACAAACTGTTCCAAAGAGGGGGGGGAAATGGAGCAGACAGATTAGATTATTGGGGATACACAGGAAAATTGCAACTGATCTAAGAATAAAAAGGACAGCTACATGGTAGGAATCACTAAGGAAGTAAACTAGCAAGCAGATAATGTCTTCAGAAATACAGTTAGAAAAGCTAAAGCCAAAAGGAGTTTAGGCTCACAAAGGAAGCTAAATGCCACAAAAGACTGTTTTCATTAAGTCAGCACTAAAAGGAGGAAAATGGAAAGGGTAGACAATTGGATAATGGTGAAGATCTGGATCAGCTTTATACTAATTCTAACTATGCTAACACTTGATGTTTTTAAGAAGAGATTGGACAACCATTTGTCTGAAATGGTATAGGGTTTCTTGCCTAAGCAGGGGTTGGACTAGAAGATCTCCAAGGTCCCTTTCAACTCTTCTATTCTATTCTATTCTATTCTACTCTACTCTACTCTACTCTACTCTACTCTACTCTACTCTACTCTATTCTACTCTACTCTACTCTACCCTATTCTGTTCTAATAAAGGGTAAAATTTTTGAACAGATTGTTAAGCAGCTGGTTTATGAACATTTAGAAAGGAATGTATTGCTTGGCAGAAACCAGCATTGTTTATCAAGAAGAAATCAATTCAGGTCAGCTCAATCTCCTCCTTTGACAGAGGACCCATTTAACTGCCCATGGGAATGTAGTGAATATAATTTACCTTGACTTCAATTAAGTTTTCAACAAAACCAAATTCTAATGAAGAAGGTGGCAAAATATAGATTGAGTTATGCTATCATTCCATCAGTACAGAGTTCATTTAGTGATCAAAATCAACAAAAGTGATCAATAGGATCACATTGTTGGAATTGTCAAGTGATGTACCCAAACGTGAGTGTAGGCTCTTTGCTGTTCAACATACTAATAAAGTGGGTGAGGGATTAGAAAATATGATTGTCATGCTTTCAAAAAATCAAGTTGGGAACAGAGGCAACACCTTAGATTGAGGATCGAATCAAAATTCACAGGAATTCTGAGAAGCTAGAAAAAGATTGAAATTACCAAAATGAATTTCAACAGGAATAAATGCAAAGTCTTACAATTGAGTAAGGAAAATCTAAAATATGAGTTCAGGTTGGAGTGGGAACCATGCTGGGTAGTTCATAAACAAAGGATCTGAATATTTTGATGGACCAAATGATGAATATGAGCAAGAAGTATAAAATAGCAGAAGGAAGGAAGGAAGGAAGGAAGGAAGGAAGGAAGGAAGGAAGGAAGGAGATCAGAAGTCCCCAACTTTTGTGACTTGGTGGCCCGGCTGGAAGAGAGGGAAGAGGGGAACCTGGGCTCATGAATGAAGCTGCACATCCATGTATATGCTATCCCAGCACTCGTGTAGCCCAGTTCTGAATACGCGACGGCCCAATTGTAGTCCAGGGGTTGGGGACACCTGCCCTAGATTTCACAAACAGAAATATCAAGAAAGATAAATCAGTGTTTCTATCCTGTACTCGTTCAATCACATTTACATCCAAATACATATTTTAGGAAGGACATTTATAAAACGAAGCCTGTCCAGCAGGATAATATGGGCCCTGGAAGAATAAAAATATGAAGAAGATAAAATCCATATGACGAATGGTTGGAGGTATTGATTGTATTCAGCCTGGGGAAAACTGTTGGAAGTGATGAAAATTGTTTTCAAGTATCAAATGGCTGTCATGCAGAAGACGGGGCAGATTTGTTCAGAGATATTCCAGAAAATAAGACAGAACCAACAAGGAAGTAATTGAACATCTGAAAAATATCACTGTGAGAATTGAAAAGATGATTTAATACAATGATTAAAAAATGAAAACAATTCTTTGAAATTTTTTTTAAAAAAATAGAGAGAGAGAGAGGAATGACAACTATAAGAAAAATCATTCAAACTGCTTTTTTCCCTTCTTTTTTCTTTCTTTTTCTTTATTTATCAAATCTATATGACCACCCATATCACAGGTATGCAGCTGGACATTATACAGTAAAACAAAAAATGTAAACATTTTTTAAAAACCATTTAAAACTTTTACTAACTGCTACTTAACTGTCTACATACTCTATTTTAAACTTCTATTATTTACTAATTTCTGTTTAGACCATTTTAATAATTTTTAAACTTACTTTTTCTTCAAAAGCCATATTATAAGTATATTAAGTTGCCTTGGCTATGTGACTAATTATAAGGGAGCCATTCCTAATTGAACTTGATTAGACTTCTGCTGTGTAGATACATATAGCCAATTTTTCCATTGCTTTATAACCTTCAATTTTAGTCTTTTAATCTTATATTGATAGCAAGATTTGCTTTTTCCAGTGTTGTGCCCAGTTAATTTTTGACTCCATCAGCATATGTCTTAATAAGTTATGCTTTTCATTTGTATTATCTGGGATCACACCTAATGTGAATAGAATTTCATTTCAAATTTCATTTTCAGATTTTTCTGGTTGTTTTGGTGTACTTTTCCCCCAAAACTTGTGAGTCTTTTTGTATGATTACCACATATGGCAAAGAGTTCTCCTTTTTTATGGCATTTTCAACATTTATCACTGGTTAATTTGCCCATTTTGGCAATCACTAATGGAGTTATATACTATACCATGTGTACAACATTTTGTATCAATTTTCCCTCAGACAGTGAGTTGGTAGAAATGTTATTGTCCCCCATCCGCACCTGTATAGTTCTTCCCAATGTCCCATCTTTAAAATTTCATCTTTAAAATTTGCAACAATTTTATCTTTCTGTTTTATTCTGCTCTGTATTGTATTTCAATAACAAGTTGCAATATGGCCTCATAATGCATCTTGATTTTATGCAACTATTACAAATGCTGCAAACTTTCTCCAGTTCCCCATTTCTCTCTGATATCATGCTTTAGTTTTCCAGCTACTTACAAATACATTAACCACAGTTGATGCCTACTTTTATTAAGCAAACAGAAGAAAAATGTCCTGAAGCTAACAGCTGTTCAAAGTATGGATTCTTTGGAACTGATGAAGTGCCCTGTACTAGAGGTTTTATGGAGAAACAGGGTGGAGATATCAGCAATAGGGAAATAATAGATTCCCACTCTGGTCAAAAGGTTTGGATTTTTCACCTACCAAGTCCCTTCCAACTCTAATGTTCCATAATTCTAGGAAGTTTAGAATCTCACGTTTACAAATCGTTTCCCATGTTGTTGATTAATTCCACCAAAGTAATTTTTTACTTTATCTACAAAGTAAAGCCAGGATCGATAGAACACCCATATTTCACTTATGGATACTGTATTGTACTTGTACCAAATTCTACCAATGGCCACTAGAGGACAGGCCGGCTCCTCGGTTCCTCTGCATCCTTCCCAGACCTCTTGCTCCTGCCTCTCTCGCCCACCCTCACCACCCCCCGCCCTCCGCCCAGCTGAGCTTTGACAGTTCCGTGCTGCACCAGCAACCTCCAAATGCTGAGTTTTGTAGCAGACAAGTTTCCGCCACCGAGCAGGAATCTTCCGGGAGCCACTCATCCCACGCCGTTGGCAGCCGAACGGAGGTGGAGGCTGCAGGGAAGAGAGAGGAACAGCCCGGGTGGAAATTGCTCGCCAGGCGCACCAGAAAGTTCGTGCCAAGGAAAAGTGGTGCAGTGGAGTGATGGGGCACCCCGAATCGCGGAAGCTTTCCTGGGGAGCCCTGATGGTGCTCTGGCTTCTGCTGGAGGAGGCCATGGGATCGTCTTTCCCGGAAAGGAAAGGAGCAGGTACCGTCCCCACGTTCCACGGGGCGAGTGCCCCAAGAATGAACCAGGAGCGGGCGGCGGGTTGGAGGTGCCTATTGTCTTGTGAATCTGAGGAAGGGCAGCTTTGAGAATTACCCAGTCACCAAAATTAGGATGGGGGCAAAGAAGGACAGGTAAAGATAGGGATCAAGTGTGAGCCAGCCCAAACAGCGGCGGGAATAAGGTACAACATGTGCAGAATGGTGTGTAAAATACAGGTGTAACTCTACTAGGGCACTGAGTGTATAAAAATTAAATGGTATTTTAATAGAAAAGCACAAAGAGATACCTATCAAATGGCAGCATTATATATAGATTTCTATGTATTGGTCCATAAAACCCCACAGTCACTTATTGAAACTAATAATAAGACTATTGAAAAAGAATGATTCATAATGGCAGTGCAAATGCACAAACATCTGGCAAATGTGAACAGTTGTGGGTGACAATTCATATAATGCTTCTAGTTACTATTTATACTTGTTAGTATGGAATTAACCCAACTTTCTGGGTTCACATGAACCAGAAGTAACATTTGGACGATGTCATAAACCAGCCAGTCAATTTCTGACATAATCTTGGGAAAACTTAGTTATTGTGCTAATGGTTTATTTGTGTGTATGTGTGTGTGTGTGTGTGTCTGTGTGTATGTATATGTGTATGTGTATGTGTGTGTATATATGTGTGTGTGTGTGTATCAAACCCAGAGGCATCCACTAAACATACATCCAAACGTGTTCCTTGTGAACTTAGTTCGCCACACTGTAGTGCTACACTTCATATAATCTTCTTTCTGGACCACATGTTTGTGAGAAACTGTTTCCATATATTTAACGGAGTTGCTGATTTTGTATTATGCTAATTATGGCTTGCAAAATCACTGGTCTACTTTCCCTGCTGTTGTGTCTCATTTTTAAATAAGGCTCCAATATAAAATCCAATGAGCTCAAGCAGAAATGAATTGGATAGAGAGATGCTCCTATGTGTGAGCTATGTTGCTTCCAAATTATGGAATCTATTCCATTTGAAAAGGTTCTGGTTTTAAAGAAGAAGCCATGTGTACCATTTTGGCTGGTTATTTTTGTATATTTGTTTATATCAACTGTATATGCCAATTATCTCACAATACAAGGTGACATTAAATGGCTGTAGATTTCAGTTTCATTTTATTATAATATATCATTTGCCTTGAGCAAACAATGGGTTAATGAATATGATAACAATTAGGAAGATAATGAATTTTAATGATTTTAAAACTGAACTATAGATAATGTGAGAGGGATCTTGGAGTCCTAGTGGATAATCATTTAAATATGAACCAGCAGTGTTCTGCAAAGTCAACACAGTTTTAGGCTGCATAAACAGAGGGATAGAATCAAGATCACATGAAGTGTTAATACCACTTTATAATGCCTTGATAAGGCCACACTTGGAATACTGCACCCAGTTTTAGTCAATGTAAAAAATTGAAGCACTAGAAAGAGTGCAGAGAAGAGCAACAAAGATGATTATGGGACTGGAGGTTAAAACATATAAAGAATGACTGCAGGAACTGGGATGTCTAGTCTAATGAAAAGAAGGACTAGGGGAGACATGATAGCAGTGTTCCAATATCTCAGGGGCTGCCACAAAAAAGAGGGAGTCAAGCTATTCTCCAAAGCACCTGAGGGCAGGACAAGAAGCAATGGGTGGAAACTGATCAAGGAGAGAAGCAACTTAGAACTAAGGAGAAATGTTCTGACAGTTAGAACAATTAATCAGTGGAACATCTTGCCTCCAGAATTTGTGAATGCTCCACCACTGAAAGTTTTTTAAAAACATGTTGGATAACATCATTTGTCTAAAGTGGTGTAGGGTTTCCTGCCTAGGCAAGGGGTTGGATTAGAAGACCTTCAAAGTCCCTTCCAACTTTGTTATTCTATTCTATTCAATTTGATGTGATCTTGAAGGCCATCTAATCCAAACCTCATCTAATCCATTGAGGAAATTCATTGAATATTCAATGGTAGAATATTCTTAACAGATGGCTACCCAACCTGTGTCTGAAAACCTCTAGCAAGGGAGAATCAATTAACTCTTCCTTTTAGGTCACTGTATCCCTTCATGAATTTCTCTTACTGTCATAAAATTTTGTGCAAAGTACAAATTTATCTTTCTGTTTAAGCCTTGGGAACTCATCCTGTTTCTCGTTCTTGTCTAAAATTCATAAGTCTCACTAGGTACTTGGCTCAGCTGCACTTGTTTTAGTTATTCTAAACCAAGATCATCCTTTCCCCCACCCAAGAGTGCATGGAACACTAAAGGAACAGGATATGATGTCTCTGGAAAAGGAATGGATGTTTTGGCAAAATGAAATTGTTAGGTTAGCTACAGAATTCCTCTGAATCAGTCTTTTATTAAGTTGGTGTACTCCAGATGTGTTGACTAGGAATTCTGGGAACTCAACACACCTGGAGGCACAGTAGAAACAATTATTTTAGAAAAGCAACCCATAGCCATCTCAACATTGCTAAACTACTGTTCCCAGAATCCCTCATGGTTGGCCATGCTTTGTAGGAATATTGGGAATTGTCATTCAGCAGCACCAGGAGTGCCAGAAGTTGCCTGTCACTGGTTTAGACCATAAGAATGGGATTCTGTTGTAAGTTTTCACTGACTGTAGTCCACATCATCAGGCAGGGAAATTTTATCTTCAGTGTGTGTAAGCAATAAGACTAAAAGGCTCTAAAATATTTTGCAGTATACTGATGAGAATCAAACCGATTTATATAAGAATATGGTAAAAGATCATTTGTCTTGAATAATGAGCTTTATTTTTTTATGTACTAAGTCAAGATGGTTAAATAGCTTATACTGAGAATCTGAAAACTTTAGAATTTGAAAAAGCTTTGGAGATTATCTGATTCCCCTTCTTGTTTAACAGAGACTTTAAAAGACAAGATGAAATTCCAGCCAAGGTGGAAAACCAGATCCTGCCCAAAGGCAGATTGTTCATCAGGCTTCCTTCTGCAAGCTAGATGATTTTATTTCATCAGGGCCAAACCCCACTCCTTGCCTTCATTCAGATGCTGTTCGTTTCTTATGGAGGAGATGTTGGGGTTGGGGGCGCTTTCAAGCCTATGCAAAAAAGTAGACTTAGCCTATCCTTTCCTTTCCTGAAGGACTGAGTATTTGGTTCCTGAACATCGTTGGGTGCAGTGCCTCCTCTGTCCCTTTATCAAAGGGATGATGGAGGCAGAGATTGCTGGGGGAAACAACTACTGCCCAGAAGATGGAATCCTCTGAGGAAAGCAGTTTGGGAAAGGAGCTTACATGGGCCTTATGGTGGGATTAGGATGAAATTACCAAAATGGAACACAGATGGTTGATGGTGTTTTCATTTAGAGCCCTAGGTGACAGCTGACAAGTATCTTCTCACTTTCACTTCTCAGCCTGTCCAGTTGATGTTCTGGCCTCATTTTGTCCATCTGTTTCTTCACTTCATTTACATGGAAACTGTAAAGATTTTAGAATATTTTATGTAAATCATCAGGGTGTGAATCCCCCTTGAAGGAATTGGAGAAAATAAGATTGGCATGTAATATTTGGCTGAAGAATTAGCCAGGGGGTGTATTCTTGCAAGAATGTATTCTAGTTGCAAATATCCTTCGGTTCCGTTTCTCTTGTTTAGGGTGTTACCTGTGGCGGATAATCATAAAAAACATAAAACTCAGATCAGATACATGCAGAATATAGCCCCCAGAATGGCATAGTTGATATGATATGATAAAACTCAATTCTTGTCTAAGAGAGTTATGCATTACCACAAAATAATTTAATTTGTAGATTTAAAAATATAGTTATGATAGAACACATAAGATGATTGTTCATTCTGCTATTGCCCCTCAAGCAACAGAGATTTAGAGAACGGTATCTTGGATTCTTGCTCTAAGAGATATCCATCAAAACTAGTAGCTATTTCTAAGCGAGACCTCCATGAATTTATCTAATGTAATTTTTATAGTAACTGTATTAAAGATTATAATTACAACAATAAAAACAAATACAAAAAATGTATAGAACATGCAGAAAAGAATGAAAAATGGGAAAAATAGAAATAGAAAAGCAAAAATAAATATATAGTAAGCAAAAAGGGAAAAAAAGATATACAGAGAAGTAACTTCCCACCTTCATCACAATGTATAAATAAATTATTGCCTTTTCTTAAAATACAACAAACTGATTTCTTCTTCCCTATCCAATCTTTTATCTATAAACAATAGATAAGTATTGTCGTCTCACTTCTAATTTTAGTGAAAGCCCATTAAGGGTTACCATAAATACACATATCTATTTAAGCTTGATTAAATAAACCAACTTTATATTGCTTCCCTTTATTTCAAACATACCAGTCTTTACTTCCTTCAATAGGAAGGAAGTATACTGTAATGTGAAATTTGGTTTGTGTTTATTTCGCTTTTGTCCCTTTTCACAAACTTCTTCAAAACTTTAGCACAACCCTTTTGCAAATACAATATAGGAAAATTATCCAGGTCACTCACTTGGTTTATTTGTAATTCTTTTTAATTATTAAGAAATCAACCAGTTTCTTTTGTAGACCTAGTATAATATCTTTTTCCATGTCATTCTTGTAGAAATCCAATTTAAACTCAGTCTCGATGTTTTGAGGTAGAACTTTCTGCTCATCCACAATATCTTATAAACACAGTCTATCTATAGAGGTGGACATTTTAAAATTAACTTCTGGGTCCATTGTTCAAAAATATCTTTCAATATGTCCAATTTATACTCTGTGCTACTTCTAATTCCCTCTAGGCTCCATTTTAAAAGAATCTTATCATTGTTATTTTTAAAATTACAATAGTAACATTTTCCCATGGAAATAATTATTTATAATTAATTCTAAAATGTTATATCAAATTTATCTGCACTTTTAGACCATTCGCAATTTTCTAAAATCAAATTTTTAATCACCTTTTGTT